AATGGTGTAGTTTGATTGATACCTCAGCCAAGGATAGTTTTTTTTTTTTTTTGAACAACAGCCAAGGATAGTTGGTTTATCAAAAAAAGGGTTGGTTTTGATACTTCTCTTACTGTTTTGCAAGTTCTCAGTTGGTATTTACATTACTTGGTGGAGTGGTGATTAATGGTCTAGTTTGATTGATACCTCAGCCAAGGATAGTTTTGGTTGAACAAAAAAAAGGGGTGGTTTTGATTCTTCTTTTACTGTTTTTGCAAGGTCTCAGTTGGTATTTAAGATATTTGATTGATATAAAGATTTGTTCAAGATTGAATCTGATATGTTTGATAAAGTATGTGTTGGTTAAAATGTTGGTCCAGTAATCGCAACTTTATTTATACATCTAATTGTTGCAAAAACTGATATCAGACTTTAGAAGTACAAAGGATCACTACAGATGAGTAAGTGAATTCAAGCAGCAACATTCTGAAAGTCAAAAAAGTATGGAAATATATGGGTTTATATACAACTCTCAAGTTTTATTTTTTGCATTTTGTCTTCCATAACTGAGTAGCATGAAATATATATATATATGGTGTATATTCTACTCAAGTTTAGTTTTTGCATTGTGTCTTCCATAACTGGGCAGCATGAGAAAGTGAGAGAAAAGACGATCCACCACAATCTAAAGCTGTCTTTGCACTCTGTTGTAGCTCTACACTCCTACGCTTCATGGCCTTCCCTCCATCACCAGCCTCACTACCCTGGCAATCTCCTCCCTCCTCACCAGTGATCTCTGCTCCACCCTTATTGGCTTGACTGCCACCCCTATCTCCTCCTCCAAAAACCATGCATTCATCCCCTGTTCTGTGTAAAGGGGCCACGCAATCATTGGCACACCGTGAGAAATACTCTCAAGTACTGAGTTCCACCCGCAATGAGTCAAAAACCCGCTTGTTGACAAGTGGCTCAGCACTGCCACTTGCGGTCCCCATGATGGAACAACCAAGCCCACCTCCTTAGTCCTCTCCAAGAACCCCTCTGGCAAGTACTCCACTGGGTTGTTCTCTCTATCACCGCCAAAGTAACTCCCACAAGCATTTGAATCAATCGGTCTACGCACAATCCATATGAAACGTTGGTTGCTCAGTTCCAAACCCTAAGCCAATTCAGTTAATTGTTCTAACGACAATGTCCCACCGCTACCAAATGATACATAAACAACAGACTTTTCCGGCTGTTTGTCAAGCCATGCTAGACACCCATGAGTGGTCGCTGTCAATGGTTCATTCATCTTGATTACCGGTCCGACTACATACACTGGTGGTGGGTCTCTGAATAAAGAACAGGTTCTCTCTCAGAGCATGAAGAGTTATGGGTTCGAGTTCTTCCCAAGCGTTCATTAGAATTCCAGCTGCCTCCGGAAACCTGCTGGCCATGGGCAAAACTCGCCTATCAACAATGCTGTCAAAAAGGTCAGTGACCGGGATAGCCTTGCAGCCAGGAAAATTGAGTATTCGGACTCCAGAGAAGTCATGTTTGAGTTCTTGATCTAAAGTTGGAAAGGACAGCAACGAAGCGAGAAGATTGGCGGAACAAGTAAAGAAGATATATGTGGGAATTGATAGCTCCTTAATGACATCAATGGCCTCAATGAAGAACATATCGACAATGAAAACTGTAACGTTGTGGAATTGTTGGAGAACTGGTTGGAGGGAGTGGATGGTCTGTTTAACGTTCAAGAAGATTCGGCCAAGGAGATCATTATCATCAACAACAACGTTCGATAAGTCAGGAGGAGGGAGGTTGACTATGTTGAGGCCTGAAGGAAGACAGGCTGACTGGCAGACCTGTTCTCTGCCGGTGGATGATTCCGATTGAGACATAAGGAAGCTGACTTGGAAGCAGTAACAAGTGACAAGGTGCTTTGCAAGCTCGAGGAGGGGTGTAACATGGCCTAGGCCCGGGCTCGATAGTATTACGACATGAGGCTGAGCAGCCATGGATATAGTTTTTTCTGGTTTGATTGTTTCAGCTGTGATCGAATTGTTATGGATTGGAATTGAATGGAGCAGAAAGTCATATTGATTAATAAGAGTATGACCGGAAAGACAAAGTACCCAAAAGACAAAGCTGCTGACGGGCCACTCGAAGCATTGATTTCTCTTCCAATAATAGTACAAAGACTAGCGATATTCCAGTGGCATTGCCTTTGATCAGACAGGGTAGGAATTGTCTTTGATTAGTGGAGGTGTGTCTAAATTGATTTAGACACTTTTGAACATTGATTGAACCAAAAAAAAAAAACAAATCTTTCAATATTACAGTGGGTCAATTGATAATGTCAAATAGGGATAAGACTATAACATTGAAAAATAATTTTTAAAATTATATCAAAATGTAGTTTCAATTGTAGGTCCTAGTTTGAATTATTTTCGGTTATTAATTATGAAAATAATAAAAAAATTACACACCAATTTACGATTGGACAAAAAAAGTTAGTTGTACTGTGACTAACCCTTTCAAATATTATCATAATAATTGTAATTATTACTTTTTAGCCCATATTATTATTATTATTATTATTTTGTTTAATAGTCAGGGTGTTTAAATCAATTTATGTGCATATCGATTATTGTTTTTTTCAGTTCAATCAAAGGTAAACCATCTATTTTGGGACTAAGGTATTCATGAGAGATAAATTTCTCGTAGTCTAACTCCAATAGATATGGTATTCTTATCTAATGATGTGCCGGTCAATATTGTCTAATAATATTTTTGTAACTTAAAACTATTGAATTTTTTTCGTTTGGACCATCTCAGTCAAAATATTATTATGTATATGGGTATTAGGTCGATTATTAGGCATGAATAATATTATCCTTTGAGAAATTAGTCGCCATGAAATTTAATTATAATGTGGCCAAAGTCAACGACAAAATTCTTAGAAATGGGGAGGAGTTGCTCCTTATCCTGCACTACAGTAAGGCCAAATGTTCTCTAGAGCCTATATGATGCTAATCCAAGACCGAGAGAGAGGGTTTGCCCCCTTTCATTGGATCTTTAAGAAAAAATCACATGAATGATTCTCATTTTTTTGTTTTTTTCTAGTATCTTTTGGTCTCAAAGGGAAAATTCTAAGAAATTGGACAATACTTACAAAGAAAGAAAAAATATCTTCTTAGTTGAACAAGTCACTGCCTTCATAGATGAGAATCTCTTATAAAAGAAAAAAGGGGTAATAGTATTTTTGATTCCTAAAATATGTATTTTTTATCAGTTTAATATTTTATGTATTAATTTTTTTAATTTGATCTCTAAAATATTCGATTCGTGACATTTTGGTCCCCACATAAACGAAGGACCGTTAAGGTTTTTTTGACAAAAGTGAACACGTGTCATTTTTTTAGACGGTATCATGTACTCAACACGTAATTATTCTTTCAAAAATTTAACGGTGTTTGTCTATGTGGAGATCAAAATGATACGAATTGAATATTTTACGAACTAAATTGACAAAATTAATACATTAAGGGGATAAAAAAATATATACTTTAACGATTAAAAATGCTATTAACCCAAAAAAAATTAAAAAAAAAATCTATAATTTGGGGTCAAACAAATGTTTTTCAAAGCTCCTGATTGTAGAAGTGATCAAAAAATGTGTGGATTATTTTGTGGGTTTAAACAGTATATATGATTCTGAAGCTTTCAAGTTGTTTTCATGTCTGACTATATATCTATACTAGTAATTGCCCGTGCCTGAAGGCACGGCGTAACGAAAAATTAGAACCACCAAAATTAATACATATTCAATCATCAACACATATCCAACCACCAAAACATCAAGTTAATCCCTACTAATTTCAAGAAATTTATGCAGAATTTCTTTTAAAAATAGATATACAGAAAAATATAAACCTGTCTACAAAACTTACAATCATCACTACATACCCAAACCACCAAAACAACCATCATTCCATACCCAAAATCATCATAATTATGTATAATTAGTTAACTTTACAAAAGACGGAACACAAAAAATACACACATACACAAAATAAAGAAACAACTTCATATTCTTTACAACTTATACCAAGTATCCTTCAATGTATACCTGAAAATATTTGAAATATAAAAATTATCGAAATAAGTGAGTCAAAATAAAACAATTGTAAATCCGAAACATAAGACCCCTTACTTTTTTCGTTAGTTGGATTCAATAAAATTAATTACATTACCCTGGAATGATTTAGATTGATATAAGTAAGAATTTAGAGAGTTTGTAACAAATTATCAATTTATTTAGGAAAATATATGGAGGAATGTAGAGACTTACAATCAAATAAGATTTTCTTAGTATCATTTCAACAGACGGTTCATTTGCTTAATGATTTCAATCATAAATCTGTATTAGTGACAATATAATGGTGTGTGAGTTTGATTTGCGAGTGTTTGATTGGTTACAGTTATGTGTTTGTGTTTGTGCATGTATTGTGTGTTGTGTGTCTACATGAGAATAGAGAAATATAGAGTCTTAGTAAGAGAGATTTTCATACCTAAACAATTGTTTGGTCAGTGATGAGTTAGTCATCGTCAAAGGTGGACAGGTCGGTAATGGATTGCATATCATTTAACTCTCTTAAATGTCTTATTCATCCCTTTAAACCTTCTCTTCATCACTATCCTTAATGTCCTCGTATCAATACGAACGCACTTTGCCCAATGAGGAGAATGCACAACCACCTAATTATTCACATAAACAATAAAAGTAACACAATATTTATATTGTAGGAATAGTAAAGTTATTTTAATACAGTGACATAAAGTAGATTTACCTGATTACGTCGGCCCCATCCACAAAGGTCCATTGTATATACACTATCGTTCTCGTTGACAAATTCACTCCAATCCTATAAAGAATGAATCTCATTGTAAAACTAAAAGTTGAAATGATGAAAAGATTACATAATTCAGTAGAAATAAATTTGTTTAAACTATACCATTTACTTGTCGTAAGAATCTTATAACAAAACTTCTGGGTAAACAATATTTGTAGTGCAATTCGACCCATCTTCTGGAAGGAGGACTGTAATACGATCTGAAGATGTGCATCTAGATAGTGCCACATAAAGGTGTCCATGACTAAAAACAGGTGTCCGCAAATCAATCCCAACGAACTTCACAGATTGTCCTTGGGCTTTATTGATTGTCATAGCATAAGTTAATCGGACAGGAAACTGACGTCTTGTCATTCGAAAAGGCAAGTCCAAAGATGTTGGTGTCATTGATATTCTCGGAATGAAGACTAAATTGCCAATTTTATCTCCATTTAATATCTGAGCTTCGATTACCCTTGAGGCACATCTAACAACCATCAATCGCGTGCCATTACAAAGTCCATCCTTTGGTGCAATATTTCGTAACAACATTATTGGGCATCCAACTTTCAACTCCAATTTAAACGGTGGCAACCCTGAAGGATTCAGCGAGTTTAAGTACTCATTAGGATATCGATTCCTAATGGTACGGTCAAGCTCATCACCTTCAGACATTTTATCTGCAGCTAAAAAAGTAATTGTCTCTCCCGGAGTAATATTCAGTGCTGCAGCATTTATATCACTGACGTCGTCATTACGCGCAGAGAGAATTGTGCGTTCAGTGAGAAAGGTTGGAGTCACTATACCAATCACATCCAATTGTGGATAGATTTTAAATATCAATTCATTTAGATTGTGACACCGGTTTATTGTAGATGGAAGTTGCACAATTTCACGTGGATTGGTCCCAATCTAAAAAATGAGAGTATAATTAGTCACAAAGTGAGATTTAATTCAAAGCATCATGTTAAAAAATTCAACAATTCAAGGTGGAATGAAATATTACCTCCATCAAGAATTTAGCAAAATTAGTATTTCGAACGTCGGTGCGAGTTAATCGCATGTTTAAACCTAGAGTCAAAACACATATATCTTTCCATAGCAAAGACCGTCTCAATGATGCACCCACAATTTGCTCACGAACGCCTTTAGGAATAACAGGCAATATTTGTCGAAAGTCTCCACCCAGGACAACAGTGATACCCCCAAAAGGTCTTTTATCGTCTCTGATATCTTGAAGGGTGCGATCGACTGCCTCAACACAGTATCGATGCTGCATAGGAACTTCATCCCATATTATCAACTTTGTTTTTCTAAACAATTCGGCATGCATTGATTGTTTAGTGAACCCACATATTGAATTGTCTAGGGTTTCCAAAGGAATACAAAATGTAGAATGTGCAGTGCGCCCCCCTACCAATAACAACGATGCAATACCAGATGAAGCCACAGTAACAACAACATGTCCATAACTACGCAATTTGGTTGCAATGGTATTGTACAAAAACGTTTTTCCCGTCCCAGCACCTCCACTCAAAAAAAAAGTAGTTGCTATGTTTTCACATACTGACGTTGTGACGGCAGTATAAGCAGCAAGTTGTGCATCATTAAGACCGTCAACATTAATTTGTGCATCAGACTGTTGTGCTTCATTCTGAAGTTGGTGATGCTCAAACAATAATCTATTTCTAATTGTTGCATTCCAATTTCCAATTGATTGTGGCATGGGTGGAAAGTCAACTAAACTCTTCCCCGACTCATGGAGCAATTGATTAATCAAATATAAGCCATAATCTTCAATATGATCATTAGTTGGATTCAAAATACCAAACATAGTACGAATCTTGTGTGCTAAATCATCACATATATGTGCTGAGAATTGCTTCCACAATGCAAATGGATGCAATGGAAAGCATTCCGTTAGAATTATGGCAAATAATCTTCTTAATTGGTACCCCGTTCTCATAATTGCAGCCTCTTGAAGACATTGTATCCATTCTTCATCATCTTCAAGAAGTCCTCTTGCAACACATGCTGACTTGAATGTATCATGCATAACATTATTTACCGTGCGTAGCCAGTCAAATGAAGTAGGTCCTCTGACAACAGTTAGAAGCAAACGT